AAGTGATAATATAAATGATCCAAATCATTTTATTTCAATAAATCAAAAGAAGAATAAAGGAATGATGAAATTTGATATTAAATTTCCACAATATGCATTTTATTTATATAGTCAATCAGATGATAGGTTGTTTGGATTTGGATTATATGATATTTGTGTTTATAAAGAAAATAATAAAACATATTCATATTGTAAACAACGTTCATTTTCATATAAAGGAATATCAAATGCACTTTGTGGAAAACAATATCCAAAATATTTCACACAACAACGAATTATTGTAATTGAAATGAAATGAGAATATTAAACATGGTTTATTTGAACATAAGCCATACAAATAATAAGATTATTTCAATCATTATTAAATAATATAATGATTGTTTATAATTTAACTTATTTCTTTATTATTTTATTATTTTATTTGAAAGAATAAAGAATAACGAAATTAATAATAATGAGTTAATCATTACATTTTATGATGTTATATTTCTTATTCTTCTTATTTATTATTTTATTGTTCTTTATTATGTTATTATCATTCTTTAATTTATTATATTTCATTTTATTTTAATTATTTATTTCTATCATTCTTTATTCTTTTATTCTTTCTTATTTTCTGTTTTATTATATAAGTTGAATATTACTTTTAATTTATTTTAATTTATATTATTTATTATTTATTTTATTATTCATTTCATTGTTGGTTCTTTTATTTGTATTTATTTATTGTATGTTTGTTATTTGATTAATATTTTAATTTATTATTTTCTGTATTATTTATTCTTATTTTATGTATTTTCTTTATTTCTTTTTCTGTATTATTTATCTTTTGTTTGTTGTTGAAATATATTGTATTTGTGTTCATTCTTTTCAATATTTCATTCGAATCTTATCATTTGATTATTGTTAATCTCATCATTTCTTTATTATTTGATTACTCAATAATCAATATAATGAAGATAATATTCAATTTTACACATCTTAATGATTTTATAACATCATATTGAATTATCTTTTTGAATATGTCAATTACATCATTTATTGAATTGTTTCAATAAACTTAATCATTTCTTTTGTTCTTCTGTTCATTTCTATTATTTGTGTTGTTTATTTAAAAAAGAATTGAATTATAGATTTTCAATGATATATTTAATGCTGATGTAATACATTATCATTGTACTGATAATATCACTATTCATTTATTATTATTTTATTATTTTATTGTGTTTTATATAAAATATCATATTTATCATTTATTATTTCTCTTTCATTCTTCATTTAACTGTTAGTTATCATCATAATAATTTGTGATGATATTATAATATATATCTTCTATTATTTCAACTTATTTTATCATTTATTCATATTATTTCTTTTGTTTCTTTCAAATTTCTTATTATTTATTTCTTTCTGATAAAATTTATATTTATCATTCATTCCATATTATTTCTAATTGTTTTGTATGTTATGGTTATTGTTTATTTCATATTTTGAGATTGATTATTGTTGTGTTCTTTTTTATGATTTATCATGTTCTTATCAACTAAAAAATAAAAAATATAATGAATTTTAATTTGAATAATGAATTTATCTATCTTTCTCAATTGTAATATCTTCTTCATTATTTGATTTATTTTGTATTGTGATTCTATTTACATTGTATTATATTTGATAAATTAAATGATGAAATACACAATGTGATATAATTAATTTGTTTATTTCTTTTTATTCTATTCTATCATATTTACTTGATATTCATCATTTTGATATTTAAACAATTGTATATTCTTATAACACATCTCATTTCTCTCTTGATATTCATCATTCATCAGTAAATTCATTCATATCTTTCATAGTATTATCAATGATAATTCATATCATCATATTTCTATTTCAATCTTCAAATAATTGATAAAACTTAGTGAAATAATATCAAATTCATATTCTTTAATCATCTTATACTTCATTTATGAATTGAATATAACAACAAAACAACTTCATTCAAATTATTATTAAATGAACTAATAAATTAAGAACTAATAAATAAACAATCAATAATGAAATTAGGATATAATGAAATAATGATAACATCAATGTATTTTAATGATATTAATGATTTTATTAATTTAGAAATTGGTGTTAAAAGATTTCAAGGAAATATTGAACGATTTCATTTTAATCCAATTCCATTAAATGAATATTCAAGAAAATTATTTACTAATATTGAAACATTTCATATTTATAATAAAAAAGATAAAATATTTAATGATGGAAAAATATTTAAAAAAGTAATATGGTATACAGTAGATTATTCAACTTATTTAAAAGAGAAAGAAAAATGGGATGTATATAAAAATATAAGATACACACAATTAGATAGAATGAAATATGGAGAAGTAATACCACCAGAAGTTACATCAATTGGATGTCAGTGTTTTGATTGGTGTATAGCATTAACAAGAATTGATATCCCAAGTAGAACTAAAGAATTATCTAGTAATTGTTTTTCAGGATGTAAATCATTAAAATCAATAACTATTCCATCAACAATTAGTACAATAGGATCTGATTGTTTTTATTGGTGCACATCATTAACATCAATTAACAATCAAAACATACAATTTATTAGTAAAGAAAGAATATTTGTGAATGAACCAGTGTTAGTTAGTATTGAAACACCAAAAAATATACAAATAATCAATGGAAAGAATATTGAAAAGAAAAGTATTAATGAATTTATTATTCCATCTTCAATTACTAAGTTAGGAGAATATTGTTTTTCTGGATGTTCAACACTAACATCTATAACTATACCATCATCAATTAATGAAATAGAAGATGTGTGTTTTTCTAGATGTTATTCATTGATATCAATTAATATGCTATCACCTGTTAGTGAAATAGAAGATTATTGTTTTTCTGGATGTTATTCATTAACATCTTTAACTATACCATCGTCAATTAATAAACTAGGAAGGTATTGTTTTAGTGGTTGTGAATCATTACAATCAATTAACATACCATCATCTGTTAGTGAACTTGGAGAATATTGTTTTGATAGATGTTTATCATTAACATCTATCATTATACCAACACCTATTAGTAAAATAGGATATAAATGTTTTAGTGGATGTTCATTGTTAACATCAATTAATATACCATCATCAATTACAGCATTTGGAACAGCATGTTTTTATAAATGTGGATGTGAAGAAATGTTAAAACAGAATAAAACAATACCAGAAAATTGCTTTCAGCCATATTGAAGAAGAGATAAAGAAATAAGATAATTGAATTGATAAGAATAAAAAGTATTTTAATTGTATAATTTAATTGATATAAAATAATAATAAACAATTCATTTGATAATAAAATATTCATTACAATTTACTTAATGTTTTGTATTTTATCATGTTAGGAAGTGAGATAATCAGTTTCTTTAATATTCTTTATTTTCATTGAATTATTATCTTTTAAATGAAGAATCATTTAAGTTGTGTTTTAATTTAAAGTTAATGAATGTTGAAATTGGTTATTTATAATATCATTTTAAGAAGAATATATCAATAACATCATGACTATGCTTCATCTTCTTTAATATTAACAATTTGAGTAGAATTCTTCTTTATCTTAACAACACACCTTATTCAACTTTAATCTTTCATTAATAAATATACTTCCATCCAACAAATGAATAACATTAACATCCTAATGAATAACAACATTCCTTAATAATCATTCATACTAATTCTTAATAAATAAATACCATCAACATTCTTAAATGAGGTGTTGTTTCAATAAATATAATGCAGTGACTAGACAACATTTGATTTGACTCTTGGATTCATTTTATGGTTGTGTGTTGTGGTTCTGAAATGATATTTTAAACCTAATGAAAAAATTGAAAAAATAAAACTTACAAATTAAATTTCAATATAACTTGAATTTTCTATTTCATTT